TACCATATAGCCCATGCCCTGAATCATCATCATCTTGCTCTACACGCATCCCACTCCCCTGAAACTCTTCCACTCCTAACTACCAATTGTTCCCCGACACAACCTGCTCATCGAGAACACTGTTTTCCTTTTCAATAGATATAGCATTGATTGCTTCATTTGAATCATCCCCAATACATGTTTCATTAATTGCAGCTTCTTTCTCCTTCGACAAACTTTTACCCCTAAACTTTTCTGAAAACAATACCTGCGTTGTTTCATCGGAATGCTTGTTTGATGAGTCGCAATCAGAGCCCTTCCGTTCTCCTTAACCTCCTTCGACAACACCGACCTCGGGGCTTCAACAGCTTTCGAGTGAAACCAAGCTATCCTCGAAACCAAGTTCTACAACCCCGACTTCATACTTGATGTTACCAACCATCACCTCTACTACCTCATTGATCCACAACCTCTGATTTGTCGATACAAGAATTGTGATCTTCTCGCAATCCAACTTGTGATCAATGTTCTCTCCAAACGCTTCAAATCTTCCCCATAAGGCAACCAACCTCTTCAACGTAATGTCATTCCAACAGTGATGAGGAACTCTAGAAAACTCTAACCAGGTAGCCCTTTCCACTTGATTTAGAGACACTGACCATGGTTTAATTTCCGCAAAGATCTCCAAGTACGGTTGGAAAAATAGTGAATTTTATTGATTGATTCATGTTTCTTTTGAATATTGTAAAATATTTTTAATTTAAACATTTGTAGGATAATTATTTTTTTAATATGTTAAATTAAAATATCTATTTAACTTTGAAAATTAAACACAATTATATTTTGAATATTTTAAATTAAAATAATATTTATTTAAGTTTAAATAGTAAAGGAGTTTATATCTTTTGAATATTTCAAATTAAAAGATATTATTATTTGTTTAAATTTGAAGATTAAAAGATATATAATTGAAGTAAATCTCTTTAAAATCTCCGATAAATATTGAGTTAACATGCTAGATTAATCACAATTTTAGAACAAGTTTTTACATTAAGAATTCAAGAACTTTTACTTTTATGAAAAATATTTTCTCTCCTTAGTTTTTCGATGATAGTCGAAGGCAAGGATAGTTCTCATGATCTTTATTGTTGTGCTACTATAGTTGATCATCTAGTTGTTGTATCTTGAGAGACAGACGACCAACGATCTCGAGCATCCAAGGAGTGACCGAAAATATGTATTAAAAAAATTGTATAGCGATATGCCTCAACTGTTTCTGATCAAAAGATTAATCAAGAAAAGAGTTTTTTTCTATTAATTTTATTTTATTTTCTTAATAAGTTTAATCTTATTTGTTTTATCTTCTCAGGTATGATTATAGTATCATATTGTTATATTTCTAACAATTCTAAGACATGATAAACTCGTTGATTACCTTTAATTTTATAATGATATTTGAATAATTATTTATCATTATTGTATTCTCTATATTATTATCATATTAACGATTTTTCCAACAAGTACGACCACTGGAGGTCTTATCTCCCCTAAATCCCAAACTTGTAATCTCAACCCTATACTTCTTACACTGTACACAGAGGACATTGCCCAGCTAGACACTTCCTCAACTTCTAAACATCTTCATCTTCAGCATAACCAATTATCCTTCTCATCTCAGGCAACTTTGATCAGAAGATTCCCCATTTTCCCTAGCAAGCGATGTAGGCCCAACCTTCTTCGGTACCCACTTCTCCTCGGTGGCCTGCTTGTTCCCAGCTATAGGTCTTTTAACGTGCTTCGCACACTCCAACGATATTCTACCATTATTGATCTTCAGGCTACTAAGCCTTCCAATCATTCTCAGTGCTTTATCCCTACTACCAGTACGTACAAAGGCAAACCTCTTACCCCTTTTTCTCTGTTACTTGCAATGAACACCCTAATAACTTTGCCTTGCCTTCTGAATACCTGTCATAGTCCCTTCCAATGCAACTTTGGTGGTAAGCTATCTACGAATAAGGTCACTACTCTCAACCACACGTCTTCCATATATATTTGATGGTTATATGTTTATTATATGCAAAAAAAGGATGTCATTACGACCAAGAATGAATTGAGTGGATACTGAAATTGTTCGTACTCTTTGTAAATTTTAAGTTTTCATATATATATTATATATTTTCATTATATTTTCTATTTATATCTTCTCTAAAATGTGATTTTCGACATACACAATGACTTGAACTCAAGATATGCTTAAGCGATATCAACTACTTACCACTTGAAACCACCCCATTCGTTCTATTAAATTAACTTTATTCCACACTTAATTCCCTAGCAAACTGCAGAATAAGAAATGTTTGGTCTCTATTAACAATATGAAATCCTCAAATAAATCATAGTTTAATTCCAAATTTAATTATCCTTTAAATGCCCTACAAACGAAAGTAATTAAAATAAATGAAACCTAAAATTAACTAAATTCATTTCAATTTTGATAAACGGTAGCAAGAGTAGGGACAGGAAGGGTTTATGTTTCAAATAAAATTGGGTAAACTAGAATGTAGTCCAAAAAAACTGAGATTCACAAATGTGGCTCCAAATTTTATAAAAGTATAACTTAATCCTCCAAACTTTGGATTTCTTTCAAATGAGTCCTAAGTATATACAATGATTATTCCCTAAAATCTGATTACTTTAGATTAAACTTCTCAACCAAATTTTGTTTGTTACAATTAATTTAAAATGAGCCATAATTTGAAGATATTTAATATAACCAACTCTTAAATTAATGAAAAAGTTGTAAATAATCTTTATTTAGTGAGGAAAAAATTAACGACACTTTTGAAATCTCTTGCAATTTCTCGTATATGATAATAATAATATGAAAACAATCTTTCATGCGAAAAAGAAAACAAATAAAAAAATTTAGAATATTTAAAGATTAATTCTCCATAACTTGTCCACTTAGCCACTTATAAATTCAAGAGAATTTGCATGTTGAGGTACCATTTTTAATAAAGCCAAAGATAAAAGGAAAAGAAAGAAAAGATGAAGAGTTTCCCGTCTACGTCATTTCCATGTTGGTTCATCTTTTTTTCTGCAGGTAAAAAAATCAATTTATTTTCTTTTTTTATTAGCTTCTAACATTCAATCTACATACAATGTATCCTTTTTTTAAAAATATATATTTTATTAAGAGATTTTGGTTATATGTTTATTATATACACTATGCAAAAAAGGGATAGCATTACGACCAAGAATGAATTGAGTAGATATTGAGAGTGTTCGTACTTTTTTGTAATTTTTTTTTAAATTTTCACTTACAGTTTAGATATTTTATTTATATTTTTTATTAATATTATAATTATGTATTCCCTAAAATTATAGTAATTCTATTTTCTCTAATTTTTTTTATATACTTTCGTAAAAGTTTACATCTCTGACATGAAATTTTATGTTTTTCGTAATATTAAACTTTTTTTATTTCTGTTAAAATGCATAATATGCATTTAACATTGATGAAATTTGAATTCATATAGGAAAATAAGTAGCTGGAAAATCATGTCATGTAAATATAAGTTCGGGTGGAACACATTGCTATGTCGACCTTTGCATGCAAGATTGTGCTAATAAGTTTGGGGATGGAGCTAAAGGAAAATGTTCTGGAGTTGATGACTTCATTTGTACTTACTGTTGTTAATTTATACAAAATGGTGTAGGATGTCACTATATCTTATCAATAATAATGCTAAAATCATATTGATTTGTTGAATAATGAAATAAACACATTAACAAAAGTGGATTAATGCAACAACTTGTTTTCTTTTTACTATGATTTCCTTACCCTTTTATTTGATCTTTTCGTTTTAGCCTGATTCACTTTCATGACTATTTTATTTTTTTTATAATTTTTTTATTTTAGGATTTCTATATTTATCGGCATGATACTTTTAAATTGTGCATTGTGTAATCATTTTTTAAAATGTAATTGGGGTTAAAACCCCTCATATGTCAATTTAGCCGAGGTTCAATCAGGACAACGGAAAAGGAAAAGGAGTGTCTAGAGAACTTTTTTAATCAGCTCCGAAAAGCAAGACAAGTATCCATTAACCATTAGAAGTTGTTAGAATAACAATTACATTTCAAGAATGTATATCAAGAGGCATATTATTTACTGGTCTATAGCATTGTTTTTATACAAGAATTACACAGCAATCTAAGGCTTCTATCAACTACTAATAACAGATATACAACTTCCTAACTGCATAACTACCTATACACGTCAGCAATGTCTTTATCATTCAAAATTCTCTCTACTTTTTCTTTCTCCCCGAGAAAAGACTGAACATTCACTCTGGCTTTAAACACTTCAAACTGAGTTGTAGCCAGAGGTTTTTTGAAACCATCAGCAACTTGATGGCTACCTGGCACATAATTCACCACCACTTGTTTCAATGCAACCTTCTCACGAACAAAGTGAACATCAAGCTCTACATGCTTACTCTTTGCATGATAGACATGATTAGCTGTCATGGCAACAGCACTGCTGTTATCACACCAAACAATTGGTACTTTCTGCCTTGCAACACCCAAATCAGACAAAAGACCACTCACCCATGGTGTTTCAGTAGTAACGTCAGCAACACTCCTGTACTCAGCCTCTATAGTGGATCTAGAAACTGACTTTTGCTTCTTAAAATTCCACATAACTAGATTATCACCTACAAACACACAATTACCAGAAATAGACTTGCGATCATCAGTGTTTGCAGCCCAATCAGCATCAGCAAATGCTATAACATTGAATCCTGCCACTGCAGGTGCTATGACCAAACCATGATTAATCGTCCCTACCAAGTTCTTCAAGATCCTTTTAATAGCAACAAGATGTTCTTGCCTTGGAGCATGCATTTACTGAGCAACCTTATTAACGCTAAATGCAATGTCTGGACGAGTATGACATGCATATAATAATGCACCTACAATACTTCGATACTTTGTGCATTCTGAAGTAACAATCATGCACCTTGATTCAACTTAGCGGATATAATCATAGGTGTAGAGGTAGAATTGGCAGTACTCATCGTAGTCTTCATTAATAGCTCTAAAATAAACTTATGTTGGCTAAGAATCAATGAACTTCCATAACGCTTAACTTCTATGCCCAAAAAATAATATGGATCACCAAGGTCTGTTAAGGCAAACTCACTCCCAAGCAACCTCACTACTTCCTCAATCTACACTTTGGAATCCCCAGTCAACACTATGTCATCAACATATACAAGTATATAAACACACTGACCATCTGCCCAACGAACAAACAAGGATGTGTTTGCTGAAGATTCTTTAAAACCAATTCTAACTAGAAAACTTTTAAGTTTGTCATGCCAGTTTTGAGGGGATTGACGTAAACCATACAACACCTTCTGTAACTTACGCACCAAAGGACTACCATCAGCAGCTACTTGTTCGAACCCATGTGGTTGTTGCATGAAAACCTCATCATGAATATCACCATGCAAAAATGAATTATTCATGTACACCTGTCGCAGTTGTCAACCATTCGTTACAGCCAATGAAAGAACAACATTCAATGTTGCAAAGTTAACAAAAGTCCTAAATGTCTCACGAAAATCATTTCCCGGCACTTACGAGAACCCTTTAGCTACCAATCTAGCTTTATATCTGTTGATCGAGCCATCAGGGTTCTTTTTCAACTTAAAAAGCCATTTACATCCAACCACTGACCGCCCTTCAGGAAGCTTCAAAAGAATCCATGTACCATTCTTTCGTAAAGCTTCAAATTCTACGTGCACTGCAACTCTCCAATGAGAAGGCTGAAGTGCCTCATATACATTCACAGGTTCCATATCATCATAGCTAGCCAAATACAACTTAGGCTTAAATATACAACATTTACTTCTTGTCATCATCAAATGTCAACTCAACAACATTCGTCACTACCACCCCATGTAGCAGTGATTTGTACTGGAGGAGCAACATTGTGAAAGAAATCAGACACAGCCACAGGCTGCACTCGACCCACTAGATCATCATCCTCAGCTGCATTGACGGAAGTTGCACCACCTTGTTCTTGTTGAACTGCAGCTCCTAGAGAAGTATCACCCATATCTATAGTGGTCTGACCCATATCACCCGAACCTCCATCAACACTATATGTATTTACATCAACTATCTCTTATTGAATTTTTGCTTTCAGATGAGCAACACCCTCAACCAAAGTGGCCTGGTCCATTTCACCAGTATAACAAATCTCTTGTACTACACATGTCCTACCGGTTTGAAACTGTCGCATACGGTTATAAGTTTAATTGTTGTAGATTTCTGTTTACAAGGCACAGTAGCCTTACTTGAACTAAAAATCCCTACAAATGGAAAAGCAAACTCATCAAAAATTACATATCTAGAAACATATTTCTTGTCATTGGTTGCTAGGCACATATATCCTTTGTGTTGAGGGTTGTAACCTAAAAAGGTACATAGTTGAGACCGAAAATCATGTTTGTGCTGCTGAAACATTCTCAAGTGAGGAAAACACTTGCACTCAAAGACCTTCATGAACTCATACTCTAGTTTCTTCCCCCACAACTTCTTGTGAGGTGATAGTCCATTCAAGACCCTGGTAGGAAGTCTATTAACGAGAAACACTATAGTAACAGTCGCATAATACCAATAACGTAAAGGCATAGCATCCTGAGCTAGCAATACCAAGCAAGTTCAATGATGTGTCGATGATTCCTTTCTACTACACTATTCTGCTCAGACATGTGAGGGCAAAGCAACATTGTCAACAAAACAGACGAGAGGTTGCGATACTCCCCACCCCAATCACTTTGCACAGCCTTTATAGACAATAAAACTGAGTAGAAACCATATGCAGAAACAACTTAAATGTATTCACTGTCTGTGACTTGGCTTTCAAAAAATAAACCCAAGTATGCCTCGATTAGGCATCAACAAATGACAAATAATAGTAAAATCCATTAGAAGCTACATAAGATAGCCCCCATATATCAGTATAAACGAGTTGAAAGGGTTCAGTATAGACAAAATTAGAGTGGAAGAAAGGCAGTTTATGGTTTTTACCAATGCAACAAGCCTCACAAATTTTATTTACATCTTTAGTAATACGTACATCAAGAATTTGACATACAGTAGCAACTGTATCATATGTTGCATGACATAGCCTTCTATGCCAAATATTGTAAACATCATTAGCCACAACAGAATTTACACAGGTTTTTTTTACAAACACTTGAAGTAGTATTATTAGGAAACACATAAAGTCCTTCTTGCATACGTCCTTGAAAAAGCATCTCTCTAGTAACAACATCATGAACATAGCAACCTTAAGCATGGAACTCAAATATCACGTTGATGTCCCTAGCAAACTTGGATACAGAAAGTAAATTCTGAGTTATACCAGGCACATGAAGCAAATCATTGACTAACAACATTCTAGAAGAAAACTGCATGGTCGTATTACCAACCAAATCAACAGCTAATGAAACACCATCACCCACAACCAGCTTACCTGGACCACTACGACCAGTACAGTGGGTTATAATATCAGCATCAGGAGTGACATGATGCACATCACTAGAGTCAACAACCCATTGATCCTACTCAGACATTGAAGAATCTGCACCAGTCGAAGCATGAAGTCGAGAACCCTTCGAACAACACATGCAACTGCACTTATCATATGCAGTTGTGTTGGCTTGAGTAGATTCTTCAACATATCACGACTGAAGGCCACTAGCAATCTGGAAATCTTCATCATAGCAATGCCAACAGCGATCAACTAAGTGCCAAGCTTGCCACACAATTGACACTGAATACATGGCCGGCCACTTCCTCGACCTGCTCAACCACCAGACCTGCCACCTTACCAAGCAGTTGACATACGATATTTATCATAGTTTGAATATGAACATTTAGAGAAGTCACCAGGACCAGATCCATGAGTAAGGTGAGTTGTAGCCACTACAATTTCTTCTTGAGCAGCAAACCCAGTAATCTGTGTTTCTACATCTATAAGCATGGTGCATACCTTATCCAAAGGCAACATGTCATCACTTGATGTAATAACAGCCATAAAAGGCTGACACTCACGCAGTAAACCCTTCAAAATACTAGTAATATGCCCTACCAGAGGAATCAAACTTCTACATGAAGCCAAGGCATCACAAACTTCTTTAACCTTGGCAATGTACACACGCATAATATCTTCTCCCTTCTTGAGAAACTGAAGTTTATAACGCAAGCTCATCACCGAGGTCGAAGATCGAGTGGCAAAGTATTGCAACACCATAGCCCAGATAGATGTTGTTGTCTCAGCACTAACAAATTGAGACAAAAGATGTGGACTAATAGTAGAAAGTAACCACGACGCCAACTGTAACATCCCAAGAATCAAGTTAGGGACCAAATTGTAAGATTTTGAAACTTTGTGTGTAATTTAGAAAAAGTTGGAAAAGTTCAAGGAATTAAGTGGTAATTTTCCCAAAAAAGAATTTTATTCCATAAATAGATTTAATGAGTGATCAAATTATAAATTTGTAAAGTTTGGTGACCAAAATATAAACTTTGAAAAGTTTAGGGACTAAAAATGGTAATTTTAAAAAGTTACAAATTGGTCACGAAAATAAGAAAATAAATATATTATTTTCATATTTTTAAAATGTTGAAAAATAATATTTAATGGTTTAATTCCATGTTTAATTTGGACTGTTGGATTAAAGTGACAAAATTGTAAGTTTTCGAAATTTCAAGGGCAAAATGGAAAAATATTTTGTTCATCTTTGACTTTGGAAGATGATAAGGTTGTTGTGGCTTGGTATTAATGTAATTATCAAGTTCATTAAGGGTAAGTTAGTATAGATATTTTGATTTAAAGGGTAAAGTGTTAATTTAACATTTAATGAATTTTTTATTCATTATTAATTATGAAAGAAGAAGAAATATCATATGAATTTCTTCATCTTCCAGTAGCAAAGACGTGAGTTCTCCCAAAGGTAAGAAAACATTTTGTTTTCAATTTTTGAGCCAATTCTTTTGGAATTCGAGTTATGTCGTGAAATAGGAAAGTGATCTACGCGAAAAATGTTGTCATTTGGTACCAATATTTCTTTCTGATTTTGTTGGATTTCAAAGATCTCAAATGTAAGAGTTATTCATGAAATTGATGATAAATCTTGATGATTTAGAGATTTTAGATTCATTTTCAAGCTTGATTAATGGTTAAAACATGTTCAATCTTTCTAGAAATTATTCTTTGAAAATTCAGACATGATGTATTTGAGTGAGAAAAATTATGGAAAAATTATATAAGGTCTGGAAATTATGTAGGAAGTATTCTACAAGTCTTATAAAATTTAGGGACCATTCTATAATTTTTTAAAGTTAGGGGACCAATTCAATATTTTTAGAAAAGTTGTAAATGGTTGTATAATTGTCTAATAGTTAATGTACTATGCTAGAAATTGTTGTTTTGGGATTGAAATGAGCATTTAGATGGGAAATATGACCATTTTGGAAGTTTGAAAAGATTGGTGATTTAAGTGTAACATTCACATAGTTGGGGTGCTTAAATATAATTGTACCTTTATAAAAGTACTAGGTTGGTAATAATTTCAGTATTGGAATTTTTGGTATTTAAAATTTAAGAGATAAAATGACGAATGGTCATTTTTTGTAAATTGGAAAAGTTGGTGCCAATATTAAAAGAAATTATTAAGTGTTAAGTATTTTGATAGAAAATGAGTTTCAAGTATATTATGGATTTTTTTTTTTGGGATATTTTTGTGTTAGTACAATACTAACATATATATATATATATCGTTATGAAATTATGAAATGTGCAGATTGTGATTGATTTCTGACTAAGACAAGTCAAGTATAAAAGGATTGTTGTGGATTATAGTGAGGAACATCTTTTGGATATATAAAGTGTCAAGGTGAGTGCAAATTTAATTGTATTTATGTTATCGAACAAACATTGGCTTGTGATGAGCTAGTGACAGAGTTACTATGGTAAGAAATGACTCCTAAAATGTTATTTGATTTATGATTGATGTGACTCTTATATATGCATGAGTACATGAAAATGGGTATATGTATCCTATGTTATTATATGTGACATGATCTACATGAATACATGTATAAGTTTATATGTTATTCTATGTGCTATGTGATGAATATATGAACAAGATATGACATACTTGTTTACATGAACACATGAGAAATGATATAAGCTATATGATACGATCTATGTGATTACATACACATGTGATATATGTTACATGAAATGAACCTATGTGATATGGGTTATATGACAATATTGTTATACAAGGATCTATGAGATCATATAAGTATGTTACACAATGATCTATTAGATCATACGAGAATGATACAAGTGATGTGAACAGAAATAAATGGTGAAGCCCATAGTATGTGATATGAGAGCTTAGAGTATAATTGGCATGCCAATAGTCGAGGGTTCTATGTGGTTCTTCGGGATATATATATGTAATCCTTTGGAACATACATGCGATTCTTCGGGACACATAGTTGGTCATTTGGAATATATATGTGATTCTTAAGGAGTGGTCCTCTGGACATACAAGAAGTCCTTCGGGACATAAAAGAGTACAGAGTTCTATATGGTCCTTCGGGATATATATGTAATCCTTTGGAACATATATGTGGTTCTTCGGGTCACATATTTGATCCTTTGAAATATATATGTGATTCTTAAGGAGTGGTCCTTCGGGACATATACGAGATTGTAATACCCGTAACCCGTATATTTATACATATACAGATTACGGATGTCACTCGTATTTCTAAAAACCATTTTACGATTCGAAAGCAATTTAAAATTTATTTTCTTAAAATATTAAATGATATTATAAAATTATCATATCATAAAAATTACGTTTCGTTGTAACCAATTTAATTCAAAATATTTTTAATTATGAATAGTGAATAGTACCCGAATAGTGAACAGTGAACAGTAACTTCCGAAAATTTACATATAAATTCATAAAAATTCACCTTTCATCACTATAAAAATTTCCAAAATTAATTAAACAAATAAATTGAACATTTTCAAATTACATGCCACTATCTAAAATCAAATTTCACAATAGGATGTCTTACTGATATTGAAATATACCTCTCGATGCTTGATGTCATTCTGAACTCTTTATTCTTATTCTTTGCTTTTTACCTACGCGTGAAAAATCATCACACGCTAAGTATAAACTTAGTGAGGCAATTAAAACATTTAACAGTGCAATACAATTCATGCATCATTATCAATGTCAAAAATTGAGTTTCCATAAAATCATTTTACCATGATCAAAATAATATAAAATCCCTTACCATTTATCCCATAAGCTCGTAAGCTTATTTTACCCATATACTTGCCATTATTCCAAAAAGCTCATAAGCTTATTTGTATGCTTACCATTTATTAAGCAATAAACCATAAACCATAGCCTATAGCCCAATATACAACCCTGAGGACCCTGGGTATTCGAGTAATATTTGCACCGTAGTGCTACACATAAGGTCGTGCCCACCATATACACCGAAGTGTATTACACATAAGGCCGTGCCCACCATATACACCGAAGTGTATTACACATAAGGTCGTACCCACCATATACACCGAAGTGTATTACACATAAGGTCGTGTCCACCATATACACCGAAGTGTATTATAAACCTGCAGCTGCTATACTCTATGGCATGCCAACTATACCCTGTCTCTCAATGACTTACTTGGGCATATAGTCTATTTTATTCGATCCATCCATGGCAAAGTATATTATCAAATTTAACATTGGGCAGTTCATACCCGAAAACATTCATGGTAAAATATCACATTTTTCATTCATGATCAATGCATTTTAATTTCATACTCTGACATCTCAATGTCAATTTATAAAAATAATATAAAATCATGCCGATATAAACAAGGTCGACTTATCGCAAGTCTTCCTTATGATGTATAGAACATCCATGTATAATTTCATGCATGTATTGCACTCACCTTGACACTTTATGTCTTTCAAAATATATGAGCCTCACTATTGTCCACAATATACCCTTTTTATACTTGACTTGCTTCAACTGCAAATCAACCATGATCTGTATAAATCACAAATTTATAACAATACATATGTTAGTATTGTACTACATAACCATATCCCAAAATAATTCCATAGCATACTTCAAACTCATTTCCACCAAATAATTCAGTACTTATTAATTCCTTTAACATTGGAACCCACTTTTCCAATTTACTCAAAATGGTCCTTCACCATTTTACCACTTAAATTCTTAATACCAATAATTCCAACATTGAAATTATTTTCATTCAAATGCTTTTACAAAAGCATAAATACATTTGCGTATCCCAACTATGCAATTGTTGTACTTAAATCACCAATCATTTCAATCTTCCCAAAATAATCAATTTCACATTTAACACTCATTTCAATTCTCAAACAACAATTCCAGCATAGTACATCAATTATATAACACTTACACAATAACCCATCAATTTCCCAGAATTCAGACAACTCGTACTACCTTTAAAGAATCATTAAACTGTATTGATACACACACTGGAATTTAATTCCGTTTTTTTCATTGAAAACTAGACTCGAATACGAATCTATCCATATAAATAAAGCATTCTAATTCATTCTATACAATTTATGGTGAATTTTCAAAGTTCACCAACAGAATCTGTTTTGTTACAGAATTCTGCTGTCCGACTTTTCTGAACTTTCCTCAGTTAACAATTCATATCTATTTGTATACAACTTGAAATTGATCCCGTTTCTTTTAAACGAAACTAGATTCATATGTGAACACAATATATAAAAATAACCTCCAAATTATTTTTATATATTTTCTGGTGAATTTTAGAACCTACTGTAATTCCCAAAATCTACACTGTTTTTCTTTAACCTCATCGTTATGTTCTTCATCAATTCTTACAACCTCAAAATCATCAATAATCATCATCAAGTTAACAACCATAGTATAAACCCAAATTTCCAGATTTGGGGATATTTGAATCAAGCAAGATTATCATGCAATATTGATATCAAATGATAGCGTTTTTCGCAAATAATCATTTTCTATTTTTATCATACTCATAATCCTAAAGAAATTGCTTGAAAAAATGAGTTGAAGATTTCTCACCCTTTGAAGAAACCCACGTCTGGTTTGAAGAAGAAGAAAGCAAATTTAGATGACATTTTGAGTGCATTTCATCTTAATTAACATAATATC